TTTTGTTTTGTTTTGTTTTGTTTTGTGCTCCCTCTGGAATGGGTAACCCCACTCCTCTTAGTCCTCTATCCCCCTCCCAAACATTTTGACAGGTTAATTCAAAGCAATCCATAATCCAACATACAGACCACATGGGCACCAAACCTCTCACTCACTGTAGGGATTCAGGAAGGGTGTGACCTTCTAGTTACCCCACCCCCTCTCCCCTCAATATGAATGACGAAATGAAGGTGAGAAATTAATAGCAGGTGGGACTACTTCTATTTAATCATCCTGAGAATGGTTTCTGGAAGAACTGATGGTCATTGATAGCGATACACACCGAATAAATCGCAATTCAGCAGCTGCGCAAAACAATTTTGCATTGATCAAACTTCAAAAAAAAAATCCCGGTAAATTCATAAAATTTGGAAGTAACCGATTACTTTTACTTAACACTGATGATGTCTGGCTCTTCAAAAAACAGAAGAAGCGATAAACACCTTATGATATTGCAGAATGTTGGATTCCTCTAAGTGACGGAAGTTAATTAACTCTTTGTTTGACTCATTGCCACTTCTCTCAACGAGGTTAAAACGTCTTTTATAGCCTTCAAGCAATTATCCTTGACTTTTAGACTAAACTTACTTCACTTCTTCTTTTTCCAATGGATTTCCGTACATCGCTTTTACGTACAAATCGTTTCGTCTCTTGTAAGCTTCCCTCTTGCCACGTAGCTTGTGTTCTTGAATTTCGTGATGCCCCAGAACTGTTTCAAGGCTCACTGTTCGCCTGCATGTACCAGGTTGTAGAGGGTTCAAACGGCTCATCGTGAAGGTGTCTCTTTTAGTTGCAAATCAAATAGGGATAACTTTGACAATTAATTAAGAAGTTGTCACAATTTTCCTTCTCAAAATAAAGGAAAACATTCGGGAAGGTATGTCGACTTCTAGAACCCGTCGCTATGGTGATATTTCCGCTGCCCCTATTTTATCTCGGGCGCACATTTCAAATCCATCATGGCGACCATCGGGGGACGAAAGTAATCGAGAAAGACTTAGAAATTAGGGGTAGAAAAAGAGAATGGGAAGCAGTGAATCTACAAAGAGATTGACCGTCGAGAGACCAGGAGAGGATGGAACTCCAGGAATTGTAAAAGTAAGTGATGATTTTAACGACTTTATTTAAAGGATGGTGGTTCCGTTCCAATATAACATGTAGCTAAGTAATTCAGCTGACCATATTTTTGTTTCAGTGTGTTTTAAGCTTGTAGTGCTATTAAGTTAATGTATGTTGTTGAGGTACCTGGTATAAGCTCATTACTACATGCGAGTAGCCGTAGAATTTCGAACCTTAAGTTACAGCGTGAAGCTTATATATTGGGTTCTTGGGAACTTACATCAAACAACCAATGCATGTCTAAAAGGGTGGCTTTCATCAATATTAGCACTTAAACACAGTGTCAACATGTTTTGTAAATGTTTATGAAACTGACGGAAAATGTCCAAATCTGGATTTATTTGATAACCATTGATCATCTAGACCTCTTGGAGGTGTGGTGGCCATGGCTTGGGAGTTAGTGCACCGGGCTCCAGTTTATTAAGAGGCCCAAACTGAGCCTGGCTGAGATACTTGTAGTCTGCTCTGCAGACATTATTTGGTTTGTCAGTTTCTTCCCCCATGTCAGTGATGGAAACCTGAAAAAACAGAATCTCGGAGATTGCCTGCCAAAAAAGTTGCTAGAAGTACAATGCAGGCTCTACCTATTGAACCACAACAATGCACAAAAATTCATTAACTGTGCAAGTGAAGTTTCCTACATGTAGGAAAATATTTTGAGAAAATTAAAAGTGCAGAAGTACTGTTCAGGACATGAACTTTGAATGATATTCTGGCTAGTACATTATGGTTGAAGCTTGTCCAAAGGGTAATCCTTAAAATTTGTTTTCTTTGCACCATGATATAGTGATATAGTGCATAGTGGTCTTGATGCTTGATTAAAATTAGAAAAATCCTATAGTGATGTTGAAAGGCAATAGAGAACAGACAGGCTGATGACTGTTTTCAATGATCTTTTGTTTTAGGTTTCAGAGAGAGTTGTACGACGCCTCAGAGGACAAACTGACTTGCCCCTGAAAGGTGATGAAGACATTAGTAAAGGTAATATAGTACCGGCATAATTCAATTTATTAAGTTCCAGAAGTTACCTTGATCTGAAACCAAAAATATTTTGTCAGAATTAAAGAAATAAGACGGGTAGTGAATGGTAAATGTGAGAAGGCAAGACTAGTGTTTTTCTTTGCAAGCATGAGAAATATTGACTTTTTAAATTGAAAGAATGAGACCTCAAAGTATTTTAAATGAGATTGCAAACATTCAAACTGTAATACGTCCATACATCATTTTTGAAAACAAGCAAAAAAAAAAAAAATTCAGGACTTTGAGCCTTTGTTGACCTTGCAAACAAAAAGAGACCCTGGGATAGTTTTGTGAAAAAATGGAGGTTGCGTGACACAGATAACTGCGAAAAGATGAGACTGCCAGACCTGTGAAATTTGACAAAAATTTTGCAAGACCCATGGTTTTTTAAGGACCATTCTTTGCCCCTAATAAGGAGAATTTTTATCCCGATGTTAAAGTGTCAGGCAGTCCTATCTTTACATGTAAATTTTAAACAAGTTAGAGAGTATAATATTATTACTGTAAAGCCTTTGAAAATAACTTTTGTTCTAGTCAATACATGTATTGTACATATATAAATACAGTATGCATTATAGTAAATGACAGTACAGACAGTAGAACATTATTGTGTGGAATGGTAATCTAATAATTAGGCTACTGTTCCTCACAACTGTGTTATGCTGTTTATTGTTAGTGCATTGGACTTAAGATGAACTGTTCTTATTAGTGTTACATCATTACCATAGTAACTTAACCCAGCAAAGTGCCATTAGTTTATGTATTGAGAAGTCCTTTATGTGGAGGGTAGCCAAGGCAGGGTTGTGATCTCGTTTCACACACAAAATAACCTTAACAAAATTCATGCATCACATTACTTTTAACTACACAGGGCTCGAAAAAAACTTGAATTTGGGACAATTCCCACAGAAGAAACAATAGTAATTTAATGTTTATGAATAATGCAATGAGAGTTCAAGTTGTTGTTAACTTCTGTACATAGTTTTTTGAAAATATTGTTTTTATCTTGATGTTTATAAATGATACAATGTGCAGTCCCAGAAAACATCTGTATTCCCTGGGCGACAGAAGGGATTGGAATTTTCTGGGGGTAGTGGGGTTCTGCAAGACACAGAAAATTAAAGAAATGTATGAAGGTTAATTGGAATTTTGCAGAAGGGGCAGGGGGGAGTCTTCTTCCCTCCTGTGGGGGAGGTATGGGTATTTTCTGGAACTACACAATGGGAGTTCAAGGTTTAATAAAATAGTTAATTAAAAATATTGTTTTCATCTTTGTATCTGTAGCTCATTATGTGGCATATTATCAATTCAGGACTCATTTTCTTCAGCTTCGGAAGCTTCATGTTATACACCCTAGATGCATCTTGTTATTACATGTACAATACCGGACAGAAGTAACCTAGCAGAGAACGCTAAGCAGAACACTTTCCTTAAGTGTTCTAGTTAGTGTTGCATTGGCGTTCCCTTAGCGTTCCCTTAGCATTCCTGTATGTACTTCAAACTTTGATATGTCATAATTGTCTTTATAATTTGTCAGGGAAGACAAGTTGAAGCCAAGAGGTTAAGGGAAAGCGGAGGAAAACTAGGAGATGAAGGTTCTCCAGAAATGGAAAGCCATTGGCAAAAAGTATTGGAAGAGAAAGATGCTGAGTCACAAACTAGGGAAAATAAGCTTCAAGAACAAATTAGTGACTTGAAGAAAAAGGTATTACAATTTTATCACTTAAATCCAACAGCTGTTCTTTAATACATGTAATTTGTTACTTCAGTTCCTCCAGTAATTTTGACCAATTTTAAACTCTCGAAGTTGCCTTGTGGTTGTAAGATACATCTAACATGTTCTCCTTCCTGTAAATGAATAAGCTTGATATCATGTGGGAAAACATGCAGTTTTTATATTTTACGGTAAAGTTCTTTGTATATAAAAGGCTACTGTCTATTTGTTGACTGTTAAGTATTTGTAAACTTCATCTAGAATATTTGTGTCTTAGATTGCAGAGAAGGAGGAAATAACAGTGGAGAAATTTAATCAAGCAGTAGAACATACTAAACGGAAATTTAGGTAAGTGTGCTAGTTATTATGATTATTGGTATTAATTGTCCTTACCAAATGCAATTCTTTTCTTTGAATATTACCTTATAGATTCAAGTGGCACATCAAGACATTTCACCTTAGTGATATCACTTTAGTCTCTTCACTTGTCTTATTGACAAAAGGAACCAAATGCTCCAACCTCCTTTTGAGGTTGTCGCTGGGTTAGGTTGCATGACAGGTGCAGGGTCCGAAATTGCACTTTCCTGGTCGCCAATGCAACTAAAAATTTTGTACTGGTGACCAGAATTTCGCAACTAGTCGCCAGTGGGCGATTAACTATTTCATGCCACGATAATTACACAAACAATAACTTTAATTTTCAGCCAAATCGATTAAAATAAAATTCAAAGCCGCCCGCCAATTGGTCACTGAACCTTTTTACCTTTTCGCTGCTTTTGAAGTATAAAACTGATTTTCCTGTTATTATAAATCTACCTCAACGTTTTACAGCTGCTATCAGTGCAAAGCTTCGCCGCCACATTTTTTCAGCGGTTTCCCATAACATACGTATTGCAGGCGCAAGAGGCCCCATGCGTTCTTTCACCATGAATTTATTCAGGCGATGTGGTGTCCAAAGATGTTCTGAAATCTTTGCGTAATTTACTACAAAGTGGAGGTGGAACATCGGCAAAGAAATTAGATGAAGATTTAGATATTCTCTGGGTGTCAAACGGTGGAAATGGTGACCAAACATTTTAGTTTGTGTTTCGCTATGAAGGAAAAATTTTATTGACACTTTTTGGCGACCACATTTTTCCATATGGCGACTGAAAAGAAAATTTCAGTCGCCAGTGGGCACCTGCCGAAAAAAGTTAATTTTGGACCCTGAGGTGTAGAAAGAGAAGGGAAAAAGGATCCTTTTGGGCATCAGAGCCCCTCTTAGTTCTTGCTACAAAAGATATGGGTTAGTTTGCATGACAGGTGTAGAAAGAAGAGGGGAAAAGGATCCTTTTGGGCATTAGAGCCCCTGTTAGTTCTTGCTACAAAAGATATGGCTCAAAGGGATGAATCCCCCTTGTTACTCGGCAGTCTTCCCCCAACCCATGTTGGAGCCAGAAAGTACCCACCTTTTGGGTAAGCCTTTAGTCTACCCACTTCAGTTTTAAGCT